AGAATGAACAAATTACCTTAATGACAGTAAAATGAAAACGACGTCGTTCCTTTACACAGATTAGTTAATGCAATTAAATGCAAACTGGAGTTTCTTCCATAAACTGAAGCATTATTGTATGAATTAGTGGCAACATGTATGACCATTATATTATTGCTCACCTGTAATTGTTTAGAGAAGTGTGGGAGTGAGACTTCTGCATGGCTGACATGGTATCCCCCTCGAATATCGCGGACATCGTTAATATTCTTCAGCAAAATACACCATGAAAATATTTTATTTACATAAAAAATAACAACTACAATAGCAAATTGTGAGTGAAAAGTAAAGCCGTTGTCACTTTTAATCAACACCGTTTCAATAAATGATACACCAACTCACTCACATTCTTTCGCCACATGGGAAATGACGTTGTGGCTACAAATATCGCCCTCTGTCGTTTGGGAGAGCTCTTTTGTTTGAAACTTCCCACAGCTTCCGATAATATTGCAGGAATATCCATCCGTCTCAACACCGAGTAAATAAATATGGGGGTCAGATTTATGCAGAAATAAGGACAATTCTCAAGGTTCACAAAGTTTCAAGCACCACTGAAAGTGTCAAATTAAAAATAAATCACAGGATTACAGGACTGTATAATTATTAAAAATACGTTTTTAGGAACTTATCACACAATGTTAATAACAATGCTAATTGTCACAAAAAAAATACATATACTTTCTGTTTATTCTTATAGGTGTGACAAGCAGTGGAGATTGGTGGTTCTGCAGTGGCTGGCTTTGGAATTATTGCTGCTTTTGCTGCTTTTTTTTTTTGGTTCAAAAAACAAAAAAAAGCAGAAACACTGAATATTGGGTAATGAAGAACTGAAAGCACAATTGTGGAGGTCTTTTGGAAGTCAGTAAATGATTTGATGCTAATTATTTAATGATTATTTTGATATTTTAGATTTAGTTTTTTATTAAGCTTTCAAGCACTTTTATAATATAATCCAAATGCAAAATTTGACCATCATCTTCAAACAAACTGCTGTGTTTCATAAGACATGGTGTTTCAAATTTAAAAAAAACAACAACTGATTAACCTGAAAACCTGCAGACTAGCACAGACAATCAGAATGACTGAACAAAATTTAAAGTTGTTACTTTTTTAAAAGAGTGTCAATCCAATCTTGGTGACAGATAATAATAATAATAATTTGTTACATTTTACAAAGCTCTTTTTTTGCAGGTACTCATCCACCTGAATGATGCGATGGCAGCCATACTGCGCCAGAACGCTCACCACACTTATTGGTGGAGAGGAGACCTTGATGAAACCAATCAGTATATAGGGATGATTAGGGGCCCATGATGGACAGTGGCCAATGGGCAAATTTGGCCAGGATGCTGGGGTTAAACCCCTATTTTTTTCTGAAGGACATCCTGGGCTTTTTGGTGTCCACAGAGAGCCAGGACTTTGGATTAATGTCTTTTCCAAATGACGGTACTCTTTGACAGTATTGTCCCTGTCACTACACTGGTGCGTTAGGACCATAGAGGTTAGGACCCACACACAGACCACAGGGTGAGCACCCCCTACTGGCCTCACTAACACCTCTTCCAATAGCAACCTGGTTTTCCTAGAAGGTCTCCCATTCAGCTACTGACCACCTTAAACCCTTCTTAGCTTCAGTGGGCAACCAGTCTAGGGCTACAGGATGATCTAAGGCTGCTGGCAAGAAAAGACTTTACATGGACTTGACACACGCGCACATCACTACATTATTATGCCAGCATACATATATTAATCAGCATAATGTTGTTTAATCGTTTTGACTATTTCAAAGGAGTATGATACAAATTTTTCAAAGGAGTATGATACTAAATTTTTGGCCAACATTTTGTTTAGTTAAAAAAAGTCACAAACCAGTTTGTATTTTTGTAAAGTTATCTTTATCACACTAAGATTATGTGAACATGTATAGTGTTTAAGTCTTGTGGCTAGACTTTTGAAACAGTGTAACTTTTAAAGTTTATTTTTGCATTGCCTCAGATTTCTATTGTAAGAGCATTACTGTAAACACAATGCACATTCATACCGTCACACCGCAAAACATAATGCCACTCCTAAACAAAACAAAACAAAACAAAACATTTGAAATGGATTAACTGGATTAAATTATATTAGCCAAACAACAATTTTCCAGTCATCTACGTATATCTTATACAGTAATTCAAGTCTTAGCCAAATAACCTAGCTTAAATTGTTACAAAAAATAATTTAGAAAGATTCATTTAGAACTTAAAAGTTCTTAGGGTTTTAATATATTCAAATGTATAATGGGCCAAGACAGCAAACATTCAAATGTCATAATTTTAATTGTTTGTTGCATTGTCATGTTACCCTGATGGTGTTTTTTTTCTTTCTGTGATGACCCTGTGCACCATCTCTATGTGTATTGGCCTTGTTTCATGAACAGTTCACTTATTAACTCGGATGCATGATGTGGCTTTCTATTGTGCCTGTCTTGTGATCTGTACATTTTAAACTACAGTAGTAAAAAGCAGATTGTGGTATTTCAATTAGGTATAATAAACATCATATTACTTAAAATGAATAATCAGTTATGGGTTTCACATATATGAAAAATATTTTTACAGTGAATTTCTGGCAATATTTTTTTACAGTGTAGCCTAGTGTACAGAAGATTGTACAAAGTTTGATAAACTGAACTTGAGAGTAACAAGTAACCACACTGTCATACTTTAAGACAAAGATATATAGGGAATGAAAAGGAGGTTTGAGAGGGATGTGCAAGTGGCTGCCTTGAGACCAGAAATCACACTGGTAACTTCTATAACAAAGTACAATCTCATAAGCCTAGAAAAGTAATTCAACTCGTTTGATATTTAGAAGGAAAGATATTGATTAAAACCTTATTATAATCACTCATTACATATACATTGAATCAGCAGTGGATTCCAGAATACACCCAGAATTCAATATAATAAAAGTGACTTGACTTGCTTGACAACAATCAACACAAAGGTTTTGTCATAGTTTTAAAACCAGCAGATCTAGCTAAATATTGTTTAGCTAACTAGCTAAATAAGGAAGTTATTTTTACTAGCTAACTAGCTAAATAAGGTAAATTAGCTTATTACTAGCTAACTAGCTAAATAAGGAAAAATATTGATTTAATACCTTATTATAATCCCTCATTATACATATACATTGAAGCAGCAGTGGATTCCTCCCCTTCAATATAAATAAAAGTGACTTGAATTGCTTGACAACAATCAACACAAAGGTTTTGTCATAGTTTTAAAACCAGCAGAACTAGCTATTGTCACCATGGCATCAATCAAGGTAAACATTTTTATGCAGACTTGAAAACAATACACTGAAATAGAAAATGGGTAAAAATAACAATTGTATGCTGTTATACTGATGATGGGTTTTGAAATAGCCTATTTTAAACAGGACGGCTATTGATTTTTATTTTACTTTTCAATTCTGCATTTTTTTTACCTTAAAGTATTGATAAGGCCATTATATAAATAAACATATATTTAATGTACATATTTGCATTTTAAGAATAATTTATAGTGCATTAGAAACCTTGTAGTTTTGTATATTAAATGTTGTTAAGCTAATGTTCATGGTGTTATTTCAATTTTGTGTGATGTATTGTTTTTCACTGTACTGTTTAGATACTGTTTTTGTGGAAAGGCCACATCTTTTAGTTTATTTCTGGCCAATTCAGCAGACAAATTTAACTAAGGGTAATTGTTTTCAACATAAAATGCAAGCTTTTCACCTATGGCTTTATTATTATACAAAAATATTAAGTATTTATAGAGTAAGAAAATGTTCTCTGCTTTTCTATTTCACCATACTATGGTGACCATAGCTGCAACTGGTCAAGCCATGATGAAAGAAACTTATGGATGTAGCTGGTGTTCAAGGCTCAATGTCCAGCTATTTAGATTATAAGTATAAACCTCGCCTTTACAACAAAAGCATTAAAGCATTAAACCAGTGTGTGTGAAGTGTGTTCTCACCCGTTTCTTTTTTTGGCTTTTCCTTTTGTTACTTCCCCTTGCAACCCCTAGACGGTAAGGGGAACGTAACAGGAGCAATGTCCATAGTTGTTAACATAGAATATGCAACTTCGATATAACTCAGATATACATGTGTTTTGTATTAGTAATGTATTAGGTTTACTCCATGTAAATCAATGAGTTAATTCATTGATACAGAGCAGCATTATGATAAATTACTTGACATTATTTTCTCTCCCTTTGCATAAGCAATAAAAGCAGTCATTGGATTAATTCTTAGTAGTACGTAGCCTACTTTTTTTAAATGACTTGTGGACTATGAAAGCAGCATTGTTCAAGATAAGAGAAAGGTATCACAAAAGACAGCAAATTGTTGGATTCGTCACCCAGAGATTACTGTAGATTATGTGTCAAGACATTGTACTTGGGACAGATTCCAGTCACTGCATGGCACAACATGCTGAAATTTCAGCTGACCATAATTTACAGACTTCTAAAGATTTTGTTCATTTCCATGTCTTATCATATTATTAGTTATTAGCTTCTTGATATATATTTAGAAATTATGACAACTGAATAAATGTTTTATTGGATAAAAAAACAAACGAAGTTTTGATACACATATCGCTTTAGGTGCCAAAAATATCCCACATCCTCCTTGACAACAAGGTGTTAGACGTTTGTTAGATGTTATGACAGTTGACTGAACATTTTTTCAACTATTTAATACATTTTATTAGCCTAAGGAAGTCAATACATAGACCGTTGGTGCTATATAAGAAAGACAAGTTGATATATAAGAAATATGTGTCTCCTAAAAAGTACAAAAGTAGTATTCCGGATGAAAAAAATAAAACGGCAGTAAAATTGTAGATAGATAAAACCATCATCAAGGACGTCATGATGTCTACGCTTTAATGTCCCTCACGCTGATTGGTCGAATTCGCCCTGTCAACAGTCACCATCATCAGCTGATGCATCGCTTAGTCTCTGATGTTATTTTTTACTTCAGACAAACACGGATTGGGGCTCATTGAAACATATACATAATTGTAAGTATGATTTCTTAATTATTTAGTTACTTATGTGCTCGAGTACGCAATGAAGATCGTGTTCAAAGCATGGATCAGAGCAAGCTGTTTGTTTATTTATTTGTTTTTAGCTACTTGTCGAGTTGTTCCTATGTGATGTTTTACCGATGTTCCAACTTTTTTATTTCTTTTATTTTTTGTGTATAATCGCCTTCATATTCACGTAGGCTACATTGGCTATAATATGAATAAATTCACAGAACGTTCTTTTACGTAGCGGGTTATATTGTCGCAAATTTGCTGCCCTCTCAAGTCATTGTTGCCTATAATGGGAAAATAAACGATGTGCATAAATTCAATAAAAAGTTCCTGTGATTTGATCACCAAGCACTGATATTAGCACTTGATGGAAACATGGTGTAACATGTATTTATTGTGTGTGTTTCTCATAGGATTAGAGTATAGGTTGCCATGGCTTCGACAAAGGTAAAACTTTTTTTATTGCAGTTTGGTAATTATGTGTGCTTATTGCTCAAGGTCTGTTCAGAGGAATTGTATTAATGCAATAGAGATACAATGTTGTTTTCCAAAGCAACAGAAAAGGCTAGATGCATTTCTGAAACAAGATTGCGCAGATACGTTTAGGAAAAGTCAACCAATACTTCAGCAAGCACACTTTCACTTTCTTTTCTTTTTTTTATCTATTCACAAGTGGGAAACACTTCATTTTGTCCGCTGGCAAGCCGCAGAACGCCGATTTAATGCAACACAAATACAGTAGCCTAGTAAACGCAAGTATCGTTTGCATAGCGCATCATATTAATAATTTAAAAAGACCCTTTCATTTATAAAACTGTGTGTAGTATCCTTAAGACTATGTGCCCGAAAGCCATATGACGTGGTAAAAGACTCATAAAACTTATATGACTTATAAAACCGCGCGTAGGCCCTACACTAGAATCTAAGCAAAATTTTTCTTATAAATTACAGTTAGCAGAAGATTGTGCGCACATCCTGTCTCCTCCCCGAAATACCCATATGGATATCCACAAATTAATATGGCCTGTTGAGGATGATGACAGAGTATATTGGCTTTCACTTCTTGTCAATACGTTCTTTGATGATACTTCATATCGACCCGCGCCCATCACTAGTAGAAATAGTCATCGTGTTAAAGTGACCATCAAAATAAAGTGAAACCCACAAGTGCAATATTTGGTTGAGTTAAACAATATCATATATTATTGAGAAGATAAATGGTTCTATCAAAATGTAACAATATGTTGTCTCTTAGCATGATAAGAAGCCGGAGCCTGGAGACCTCATTGAAATCTTCCGAGGCACATATCAGCACTGGGCTATTTATGTTGGCGACGGTTTTGTGATTCACCTGGCACCACCCTGTGGGTTATTTACAATTACATGCTGCCTTTTGAGTTTATCTTGAATTTAATCAAAAAAAAAATCCATTTAAGTGACAACTTTTTGAACATGTAAAGGTTAGGCATTTTATATTTTTTGTTTTTACTTTTCCATTTCTTTCTCTCTAGCTGAGCATGCTCAAGCTGGGGCCTACAGTATGATGTCAGTACTATGTGACAAAGCCACAGTGAAGAAAGAAGAACTGTATGAAGTAGTTGGCAATGATAAATACCGCATCAACAACCTTCTGGATGACAAATACGAGCCACGTGCCGTTTGTGTTATTCTACAGGAAGCAGAACGTTATTTGAATCAAGAACTTCCATATTGTGTCTTTAGAGGGAACTGCGAGCACTTTGTTACAGAGTTGAGATACGGAAAGGCACATTCCCGCCAGGTACAGTTTAAAAATTCAGAAAAATTCATAGAAGTATGAATTGCAGTGCCTCTAAAATTTGCAGACTGAGTCCGTTGCTTTGGTCAGTTACCATTTTATTAACATTTTAGCTTTTCTAGTAAACCTGTATTCACACTCAATGAAATTCCATATAATAATACTAAAGTGATTTTATAATGACTACAGAGAGAAGCAAGCATGCAACAGTGCTAGCTAGTAACTGATTACATGTAATCTGGATTATGTAATCAGGTTTCAATAATTAAGTTCATGTAATTAGATTCTATTATGTCTAAAAATGCTTATACTCATCAAACTACAGTAATTTTTTGATTACATGTTATTCTCGCAATGGCAGTCAATTATTCATGATTCATCGATTCTCTCCCAACTACTACTTTTTTATCTTTTACTTATTCCTTTCTAAAAAAAAAAAAAAAAAGGTCTACTGCTTCTATACATTCAGAAGTTCTTTCAGGTTTGTGGAATTGCACACACAGACCTAACAGCATTTGATCGCTGAAATTATTTCCATTTTAAGAAGTGTTTCTCAGTATTGCAACTATGCATATCTAATAGACTCCCGATGAACACATTTATTATCTGAATTATCACAGTGAGTCATTTAACCATGCATTACTGTCATTGGAAGGCTACTTAGCAATAAAAATAGTTTAAATTGCACTATAAACAATATTTTACAGAAGGATTTAATTAAACAATGCTTTGAAATGGACATCTGGTGGGCTGTTATCTGTAAATATGCACATTCAGCATGTGACAACTTTTTACGCAAATAAGACCGGGGAAATTAGTAAGTCTAATTGGATTTATTTATTTATTTACGAAATAAAATTTTTACATTTATTAAAATACCAACATTATATGCATATTTACTTTTGAGTTGAGCCCTGCATACTACGCCATGATTTCAGGGCTGTTTAATGGTTAAATATTTAATGTAGGCAACAGTGATGGGCACTTAGATGGGCACTTAATTAATATAAATGCTTTCTTTCCATTCTAATAGGTTCGTAAAATGGTGGAGATTGGTGTTGGAGTTGGACTCTTTACAGCGGTTACCTTTGGAGTTCTTGCTGCTGCTTCAGCCTTTTTGGGTTCAAATGACAAAGAAAAGCAGAAAAAGTAAGGACTGAGAAATGCAAAAGTGCAATTGTGGAACCCTTTGACATTTCAAGTCAGTTAAAGTCTATTGCATTTGATGTAAATAATTAAAACATTTAATGTAGTAATTTGGCAGGCTTAGTTTTGTGAGCACAACTTGAAATATTCACAAGCCAAACATGAGACAACTAAACAAAATTCCACCTGTTCTGTTAGAGAACAATAGTGTATTTCCCAACTTATAAATCTAAAATGATTATTTTTTTCTACGGGCTTCCAAATGACACTTCCAGCACTCTAGCTGAATATTTAAAACAGCAAGCTAACTGTTTGAAAAAATCCTAAAACAAACTGCCACATTTATATTTTTGTGCCATTAAATATTACACTATATACTAGGTGTTTGTGTGTTTTTATTTGTACATTTTGTGGTGTTCTATACCAACATATCGGAGTGAAAAAACATGCTATTTATCAACTCATTTCTGTACTTTCCATTGTGCAAGATCACAATATACATCGGAGGTTTCTGTATTGCTGGCCTGAATTTCATCTGCTCAATGAGACCTTTGTTCCCATTTTCTGGCAAATACCAAATTCTTGCAACAACAATCAGTGGGAGGCACTCGAACAACCCACATCAGTGACATCTTTTCTGTTGAATATCTCCATTGAAACAAATTAAAGTATAGTTCACCCAAAAATGAAAATTGTCATCATTTACTCACCCTGTATGTATTTCCTCCTCCTGCTGAATATAAAATATGATGTTTTGGAGAATATGTGTTAGTTGATGGGCCCCATTGACATTCTTTAAAATAACTTTTTCTTTTGTGTTCAGCAGAAGAAAGAAATTCATACAGGTTTGAAACGTCTTGAAACAAAACATTTTGGGTGAACTATCCCATCAATGACTAAAATCATAAAAAATAATCCTTAATTTTTGCCTGTTTATTTTCATACCATATATTTCTATAATCATTTTTTTCCTCCCCAAATTTGAATCACATGCTTATGATAATAAATAAATAATAATAAATCCCAGTAGTTCATCATTCCTGCACAAGGATACTATGGAAATGATTTATACAAAATGTAGCCAATTAAATATCGGCTGAAGCTAAGGACAACCTTTTTTCTAACGCCTTTTTTGACATGACTTAAAAATAGGAATTGAACCAAATGTGTAATTATAACACTTCCCTTCCCCCATTTAGTCACTGCACCATCTGAAGCTTGTTCTATTTTAAATCTGCACTTTCTGGGTGCCATCTCACCACTGACAAACAAAAAAAATCAAGGAGGTGCTGTCATCTTCCATTATGAAAGGCAACATCAGTTCAGTTGGACCTTCGTTGTTATTTGATGGACTAAATTCTGTGAAACATTGCAACTAAGCAACAACATTGTTTACAGCACATCTCCAAAGACAGGCTCCTTTTTATTATCATAAATATGAAGCTGAATTTTGCATGTGTTTATACAGTACATGAATGACCCCTTCTGAAAATATTGCACCAGATCTCACAGACTGTCTCATTTACTAAAAACAAAATCATCTGCTGATTAGTTTATTTTACAACATAAAAAGTAACTCCTACTAGGAATGAAAAAGGCACAAACCAGAAATAACATCCACCTCACCCTGTCGTATGGCAAGAAAAAAAACACAATGTCACTCATGAGTTGCAGTGAATTCTTCCTTTGCTTTGAAAATATTCGTCTGTTTATACATGCTCTATCAATGACATTGTTCCACCTAGGATCATGATTAAGTTTCTCTACATCATCCATTTTCAAAAGTCCTCCAAGTCCACATTCAGGGCAAATCTGTCCATATTTAAAGTATAATCAGTGTGTGTACATACAAAGATTTCTAGGATTATATTGTTCAAATTTCCCTCGACTCCCAATACTTCTCAAAGCAGTGAGTTCATGCACACTCAGTAAACTATGATATTGTGTAATATAAAAATCATAGTACTGTGAGGAGAGTAAAGGAATATCATAGTTTATGGTGTCAGCTGTTCCCCAGAAAGATTTGCAATTCTTCAAAGTTGCCCAACATACAGACAGCTGTGAGGCTTCTCCTCCTTTCTGACATCACGGAATGTTTCTTTAAAATAATCTCGCAGTCCTTTCATCTTCAAATAGTCAATGTTCTGCTGTACCTCCAGTGCTCAGTCCAGTTTGCGTGCGCCCAGTTTCAGAGGACCCTTTGCTGCCTTGCGCTCTGCACGTTTGGCCTCCAGCTCCTTCCGCCTTTCTTCTCGTTTCTTCTTTGCCAATTCTGCTTTACTTAAACCTGAGGGAGAAAGAGAAAGTGATGTTATTTGGGCTTTACTTTGAATTTCCTCTAATTGGCAACACAAGAATGAATCTGAATTTTTAGAATACGCTTCAATGTGTAACCTGGCGAAACAAAATTACTCTGACCCTGATCTCCATCCAGTGACTCCCAGTTTTCTTCTGTTCCCCAGTCTCCAGCACTGTCTGCGTCCCAGCCATCAGACTTCTGTGGACCAAAAACACACATCTTATTTCAGTGACCTGCAGGGATAAAACTGGGCTGGAACTGTAATGTGAAATGGAGTTCCACCAGCTTTAGCAATTCACAATTAATGAAAATATGACCTACATTTCCTCTACCAGAGCCTTACCATAGTACTTCGTTGTGACACATTGGAGAACAGATCGGCTGTTGTTGACTTTCCTTCTGCTCCATCCCAGTTATAATCGCTGGCCAATCGTACCCCTTCTTGCGCAGCGCTTATGCTGGCACCCTTTGGAGCCCCAGTTGAGGATTTTTTTTTATGTGTTGGCGTGAAACTCTCAGCTAGACCACCATCATCATCCCAGTCGTTACCCCAGCCCTCATCAGCAGGTGAACTTTGACCCTGACCATCTGCATCTTTCTCATTAGACCAGCTGTCGTCGGCATCCCAGCCTGAGCTCCAATCAGAACTCTGCTTCTTCACTGCCTCAGTGGACTTCCGACCCACCTATGGAAAGATATCAAGTGTATAAAAGATAATAAATAACTTTAAATAATTTCTTTATTTGTGAAGTGAAATATGAATAAATAGTATTTTAATGTCAATTGTCAGCATTATATTGCAATACATATAAGCATATTATTTTTAATAGCCCTATTCGCACAGGCTTAGTGCTAGTACTAGTACTTTTCTGATGATTTTCAGCCTTATCTTTCTGCATTGTGTAATTGTATGGTGTATAGCGATATGACCCAGCACCCAAAATATTATCAAAACACTAGATAAAAAGGCACACATGAAACAAAAACCTTGAAAAAAAAATGGTATACGATCCCGCCAAATCACAGAGATGCCGATTCGCGCAGGACTAATATTATCACAGGACCTCGCTGTTATGGTAGGTTATTTGCAGGGGGATTTTTTTACTTTACAAATTACAGACATGGCTGAGTTGCACAGGATTAATATCAAAGACAACCTCCACAATTATTACAAATGACTAGAGGTCACCATGTAATATTAATATAGTCAGTAAATAGACATGCATGCAAAATCACCTACACTGCTTTTCTTCTGTGTTGAGGACACTGCCGGCCAATCGGAATGCAAATCGTCTGGATCTGTTTGTACTTTCTCAGGATCCTGTAGGCACAGAGATAAGGAATTATTTACATTTCTCAGTATTCATTTGTATGCTATGTTTTTATAGTATAAAAGGTCATAATTTGAATAGCCATCAGTCACCTCAAGGCTTCCCCAATCTTCATCATCCCACCGATCTCCAATTGGCTCCACTGTTTCCTCATTCGATGTCTCTGATTGGATCCTACGTGCACTGGAAGTCTGTGCTCTCATTTCTGGGCCTAAAAGGAAAAGAGGAAGTTGATGAGATGATAACTCAACACATCTCATTTCAAATATTTTTTTCTGCTTAAACTTTGTTTGTTTTTTAATGAATATTTGGCTGATTTGTAAAAAAAAAAAAAAAGTCAGATTGGAGAATAAAGCTGTTTGGAAGGCTGAAAACTAGGTCATAAAAGATCTAATTAACCATTCAGAAATATGTATATTAAATATTGTATATTAAAATCTCTTATTGAAAAGTGATAACTGAATATTGCAAATCACACTTCAATATCTCTGCATAAAGAGAAAATAAAATATAAATAATGTAAATAAAATATGCATAAAAATGCAAAATGTATTTTAAAATCTCAGAATGAATTTTTTTGGAAAGGTAAATTTGTTAAAACGTTTTGTGGCAACTGGGTTATATAACTCACGTTCTTCCTATTCAATATTTACTTCCTTGATAATCTTCATTACACTTTCTTTATTTTAGGTCACTCTTTTCTGAAATGCGACATCCTTGATGACTTATGTAGCCAACAAATGCGACCTTCAGAGGTCACCCTCTCTGAAATGGGACAAAAGGGGCTTTCACCCCGGAGGAACCTTTTCATAGTTCCTAGAACTATTGGCGAATGTTCCCGGTTTTTGGCGCATTCGCACTGCAGGAACTAGGGACGATTTTAGTTCTAGAAACTCTATTTAGAGAAACTAATTTAGCACTAAAGGAACTATCCGTGATTTTAGTGTGCGCTGATTGGCCAAGCGCAAGCGAAACACCAGCACCCGCCATTTTTAAAAAGGCTGTGTAAACACCGATACAAACATGAAAAACAGTGATAGGTGGACCTCTAGGGTACCAAGCCAAACATGATTATGGATTTCTGCTCAGCTACCAACTTTTCAATACTGTCTACTTTCTATGCATAAAAGTTCTATCTAATAACGTATTATACAGGATACTCTGGTTCCTAGAACTAAGTTTTCTTGCAGCACACCTTTGTTTTCATTATTTGTGGTTACTGGTGCAGCAGAGGGTAGAGATGAGGAGCTGTTTTCAGCAGGCAGTGCTTCCGAACCAGCCGGAGCATTTCGGATGAGTTTGGAGGTGAGAGATGAGACGCCTGTTACCGCCCATCCTGCCCATGTAGCAGCTGACCCTCCTGTCTGCGCTGATGCAGTCACATCCTTCTCTGCATTTGAACCATTTAATTACATTACCATTACATCATTTGAGAACTGAAAATTTTAGTGAGCAATCCTTTTAACATAAGGGACAACACATGCTATACCTATTTCAGATAGTTTAGAAGGGTCTTCAGAAACCGTCTCCAGCTTACTGAGGAAACTTTTTATGGCTTTGAATGCCTACAGAACAAAAAACTATTTTTGAATTGTAATTTTCAAAAAACAGATTAAACACCAAACCACAGAACATATCAATAGATACTGTGTCATTGTGTACCTCAATTCCTGCAGTGCATTTTTCTTTACCTGATCTCTGACGTTTTTGTCTGGATCCACAGTCAGTGTGCACAGTGTGGGCAGGATACGATTGGAGCTTTCAGCCACACTATAGTACTGATGGGTGGCAGCGAATCCTAGCACGCCTGCTGCACGTGAGGCAGGAAATGGATCTTTAGTTGCCCGTGAGAATGCAGAGATTAATACACGCTGGCGCATCTGAGAAAAAAAAAAAAACACAAAGGAAAAACAATGCAAGATTGACATTTAGAGAAAAAAATATGCCTAAACAAATAGAATATTATAGGTTGTTAGTTGAAGTTACCCCAGCATTGAGGTAGGGGGCAATTTTGCCCAGGCAAACAGTGGTGTTGCAGCGGATGGGGCCTTGATCGTCCCGGGCTTGCAGTCGTGCAAAGTGACGCATCAACTCTTGATTTAAATTGGTCTCGTTCAGTTTAGGGGCCAACAGAAGCATTGACTATAGGAACGAGAGAAATTAAGTCATTAAAAAACATATTAAAGACTAATAAGCATGGTGCTTGTAATGCCATGGACATGAGTTCACTTCCCAGGGAAAGCATGAATGAAAAGTAAGTTGCTTTAGATAGATCCATTTAAATGCATAAATGTAAATGTATGCCACTATCAATTACACTAACTGAGTGTCAAAACACTGGAGACAAGTGTAAACAAATACCTTTACAGTCTGCTCTCGAATGGCAGGGTTTGTGTCTGTGAAACCATGAACCACGTGTGGAAAAATCTGAGAGTTAACAGCTGCTTCATTCAAATACTGAATAAACTGCTCCATCTGATAAAAGAAGAGACAAAAAATCATTTAGAATTGTGAAAAAGTCTATGAAAGAGTTGGGATAACTCTTACAAAATCTACAAAAAGCATTGAAGTCGTGTATACCTGCTGTAGCAATCGTATCCTCATGGCACGGTCAGTGGAAGAGAACATCTTCACTATGACTGGGATGATTTTCTGCTGGTACTCCTCAGCTGACAAATACTTTCCTACCTACCACAAACAAAATATCGCTATAACGGTATTAAAGGAACTTGCTGCTTAGGATGCCAACCTTCTCTTTACAATGAACAACATGGGTAAGAGTCAATGCAATACCAAAAATGTCTTTTACCTTAAATAGTGGTGTAAGAACGACAGCGCCAGCATTGCCAAACTCAAAGGCTGTAAGGAGTTGAGGCAACACTTTATGTTTACAGAAATCTTCAGGGAAAGAATCAAGATTCTCACTCAGGTCCTGGAAAAACTGCTGCTTCTCTGCAGGTTCTTTAATCTACATAAACACACACACACACAATACTGACCTAAATATATATTTACAATTTAAAGGTATTAATGAAAATACATAAAACAATAGAAAGCAATATACAGAAAACCAGCAAAGTAGTCTGAACATTCAATACAGAATTTGCATTGCAACCTTTACACTGTAACATGCAATACAAATAGTAAAAGATCACCAAAAACAGTCTGGGTTAGTAAGATTTTCTTAAAGAAATTAAATAATTAAGTGTCAATAAACACTTACAATGTTGCAAAAGATTTTGATTTCAAATAAATGCTGCTCTTTTTAACTTTCTATTAATCAAAGAATCCTAAACATGTATCAGTTTCCACAAATATATGAAGCAGTACAACCAATTTCAACATTGATAATAAAAATAATAATAATAAGAAGAAATGTTTCTTGAGCACCAAATAAGCATATTAGGAATGATTTCTGCAGGAAGTAATGATGCTGAAAATTCAGCTTTGAAAATTCACAGAAATAAATTACATTTAAAATAATAATAATAATTATAATAAAGAAAAGAATTATATTTTAACTGTGATAACATTTCACAGTACTAGTGTATTTTCAGCTTTGGTGAGCACAGGATACTTCTTTTAAAAACATACAAAAATCTTACCAACCCAAAACTTTTGAATGGCACTGCAAAACAACACAATACAGGCCCTTAGAATAAGCTTAATAGACTGATTGAAATACCTGTATCTCTTCCAGAAACAGACAGCTCTCCACAAAGCTGTTGTTCATAAAGCCTCCAGGAGATTTACAGTTCAGTAGGAACCGAGCAGGGTTGGGACGAATCTTTGGGTTTGCACCCACTAACTCACAGTAATGTGGCACTAACTGCTTTGGGATCTGTGAGAGGTAAACAAGGTGGTTTAAAAGACCATGAGGATACACAGCTTTTAATCTGTTTGTCATAATAAAAACTACTAAAACAAAGCTATAATTGCAGTTAACACTAATCAAAATTGATCTGGTACCTTGCCCAGAGATCGTAACGAGGAGGCACGTGGTAAAGTTCCATTAAATACTTCCCAAATGAGACAACCGAGACGCCACACATCCCCTGTCCTGAGATCATAAAGAAATGCACAACAATGAGCTATGGCTGATTACAAATGCATTTCAGGACCAGTGGTCCAGTACCAGTCTAGGGTGGCAAAGAAATCCTCATTATTCAAACAAAAAAAATAAGTTTGACTATAAAGTAGTACCTAAAGTGCCTAAAACACAACAGAATACAATTAATTGCACTCAATTGTAATTGAGGTAGTGGTGGTCAAATATACGTATCAAGTAACACTGAGTGAATTTAACTTTTTTTTTACTAGACGATCCGTTTCAAAAATTGCAACTGAAAAATTAAACACTGAATTATTAACACTCAATTGGTCGCCAAAATAAATTAATTGCAACAATTAAACTCATTACAATTACAAATTACAAAACTCATTACAAATCCCCATGTGCAACAATGCGAATATGATAAATGTGTAAAACAAACACCAGAATGTACAATTGATATACACATCAATTAAATGCAATCCATTTCCATTTGTACTCTTCCCAACTTGTGCAAAAATGTGCCAGCTTTCAAATACAATGAACAGGACTCACATTCACCAATGAAATCTGACAACTGTACAGCCTCATAAATTTTGTTTCTAAAAGCTTGAATCATGACAAAAATAATTCAGGCTGGACCAGCCAATCCAAGTGCAGCCATAAGCACGTGTCTCACATTGAGTGCTGCACTTTCTCCCAATCAAAGTAATAAGTGAACTGTCTTCGTGTATCTAAAGTATTTGAAGTCCATTCAGAAAATGTAAATAGCATACAGGGAATAGTTGGGCTGAAAATGAATAAAGAGAACTAGAAAACAAGAGTTTTCTGTTTGTACAAGTTACCATTTTTCTCCACCACTGCCGGGGCTCTCTGGGGGATCATATCTCTCCATGTCAGGGTTGATCACTTTAGGTGGTGGTAAAGTGATGGAGTCTCCCTGATCAGAGCTCACATGATCCAACCCTCCAAGCTTCCATTCACCAGCACGGTCCACAAAGACGGCCCACACGCCCAAGTTATTATGGTTGAGATGGCAGTCGTTCACCAAGAAGCTCAACGCTTTCTGATGGGAAAGGAGTGACAGCAAACTGTACAACTGAACTAATGAATGAAAGATTTATAGCCAGTGAATTTACTTCAAAACTAACCACAATTTGATGAAGGCCCCATGACACCTCTAAATCACTAGCACCAGTCTTCTCCGCCTGGACCTTCAAGTGTGCAGCCAGAGGGGTCACTGGCTCTGTGACGATGTACAAGCTTTTCTCGGTCTGATGTCCAACAGGAAAATAAAGTTTTAATAAAGAGTTGTAATAAAAATGCCTTTTCAATAATTACAATTAGGATACATCTAGAACGTAAAAAGTTTGTGTAAAATCCCCCACTAACATACACGTGTCTAAAATGATTCTAAATATTTGATTCGGGGATTATTTCTTATAATAAGAGTCTGGTATTGATAAGGGGTTACATTCACAAAAACCTCACCTCAACCTGAATAATCAAGATGAAATGAGAGCACAAGAAAAGATGAGGCATTGTTTGAAGAGAACAATCTTCCTATGATTCACAATCACACTGATCAACTTCATTTAATCCATACAAGGTCCTTACCTCCAACCCATCTACGTAGGACAAGATGTTGGGATGTCTGAGAGTTTTGGTGCGTTTGAAAGCCGCTTTGGCAAGCTGCGTCTGCTCCTCCGTTCCCTGGGAAACCTCATACACAAAGACTGACACCAGCTCACCAGTGGTCTGGAATAAGAAGGGGGTACAAGTTGGGTTAAGTTACAACTCATCTGTATACTGCAAAGAAGAACAGTGCAATTTAGGAAGATTTGCACAACCAAAATGTCCTGATTGACTACGGTAGTTTTGAAATAAACCAAGCCACCAATACAGCCCAATATCAACAACTCAATATTTTATGCCGTGCTGGTGACTGATCTGTCATTATAATGTATATAAGAATATGATCAATAATTATTCATGCATCCAAATAAATCTAACAAATTTATAAATATAATATGTCAATAATTCTGGTAAATGGAGATCAGATACAGATATTAACATGGCATGTCAGGAGGACACGTGTACAGTACACAATAACAGTGCAGCTTTTTTGCTATCATACATCATCATACAAGTGATGGCAGTGTAATTATCGATACAAATAAAGTATCACATAAATAGATTAATGCACACCATTGTGCTTAGTACCACAATAATATTTCAGCTATTATGTGACAGCAGTTTTCTGTTGACGTGGCCACAGTAATGTTACGTACTCTGTTAAAAGGATGACCAAATAAACCTATTTTCTGCATTTAATAGTCTTAATATGTAACCCATATGACTCAAAGGATATTGAGCCATGAACATAAAAAATATACAAGCTTACAAAGAAGTTAAATGTGTTTTGAGTTGCTATTTCGCCTTTGCTGTTTTATTCGCTCATGCGTAATGCTGAGCGGGATGTTGCTAAACTTTAGACCGAGGACTCAGCGGCCTGCTGCGACACTATGTGCTTTTATATTAATATGTCAAGTAATTTTACCTTGCGTTTTCCCCGACTAAGGGTCCATATGCCTGACTTTTCTTGATTTTCTGGTAAAATTTCATAGTTGAAGTCTTTGGTAGGATCCCGTGCAAAAAAGGACCACATCCTTCCCCGTCTAGTCCAGCACACGGTGTTGCTGTAGGACGGACAGCAAACCAATAGAGGGCGCAACTGTTCCGACAACCGAGAGAATCCGCAAACAAATGTCACGTGACCCCTAGCATGCGCTATGCTATGCTTAGTTCGGAACAGCATTCTAGTGAGAGTATTCACTGGTTTATTTTGTACGTGCATTCTTAGTTCCGTTATTATCTTGTTCTAGTTGTAGTCATAGGTTATAATGTTGGCATGAATTCCAATGAAGTTGAGATAATCCAGGGAAGACCGGGTCTTTATAACGTAATTTGATCCAAGACTCTAATTCCAACAAAATGTCTAGCACTTATTTTTTTGTTGTTTTCTCTTAAATTTGAATATTTTTCTTTCGAATAATATTTGTTGATTATGTCCTCCACACTAACAATCATAGATTATATTTTTACGAAAGCTGGGTTACTTAACACAAAACCACACTAACGTAACATTCAGACGATATACAATACAATCGAGTTTGTATTTGAAATATCATTCAAATCTGTATTTTTAATATCATTTTGTACAATCTTTGACACATTATCTTTAACAAAATATATATATATTTTTTTTTAAAAAATCGCTGGCTGATAATGGAGGATAATGTAGCATCATAAAAAAAGAAAAGTCATACTATGTATTTGTTAAAATATTTCGAACCCAGACAAAGATGAAGTATCAGTTTTGAGACTTCGACAATGTGATTTATCAATGCAGTGGACCGTTTGTAACAAGGTCAAAATGATAAATGAATTGTGGTGAACTAAGTTACACTTTATTTTCAGTGACCATGTTATTGTACTTTCGGCAAGCAAGATGGCGGCGCCCATAGAGTTCGAGGCGGATTTTTGTATATCATAGGGATGTATATAGGGTTAAGATAAATAAGACTTGGTCCAGGGTTAGTTGCATGTAATTATGCATAATTTAGTTATTACTAGACTAAATTTAACAGGCGTAACAATGGCACTGTAAAATAGTGTTGCTGCAAACTATTGTTGGGAGATCAAAAAAAACATTACATCTGTAGACTGTCAATGGGCCTAATATACAATTCATATTTATTTGTGTAGTGCTTTCACAATACACATCGTTTCAAAACAGCTTTACAGAAATGCACGAGTTCACATTACCATTTAGATTTATATTTCAGAAATGTACATACAGTTAGCTAAAAATGTATTAATTCAAAGCTGAATGGATGAACTCACTTGAAGTAATGAATACTACTTAGTTAAATTATGACAGAAAATTGTATCAGTACATTTTGATTGTTATTCTAGTAGTTGCTGGCCAAAATTGTATTACAGCATATTGCCACAATTATCTACAGTATAAATTAAATTAGAAAACATTTGAGTACTGATCATTAACTTGGATGTACAAAATTAAAGGACACAAACCATTTGGCCATTAGCAATAATAATCTTTATTTCACAATCATAAACAAGGGTTTACAACAATTTCACTAAAATATTTAGAATTTACTATATATATATATATATATATATATATATATATATGTATATATAAAAAACACCAGAAAACCAAACTTAAATGAACTACACATTATATTCACCAAAAAGTATTGTTTGAGCAGAGGTTAGAAAGCAAAGACGCCGCAGGGAATTGAACCCCGTCCTGAGAATCAGGAGTGCCAACCACCAGAGTCTTTTGCTTTTTTTCTTATGAGGTTAAAAGCAAAACCTAAAGGAACAATCCTAAGATTGTTCCTCAGGAAAAGAAAAACCTCAAACCTGCTGCTCTACAATATTCTGGTCTCGAACAGCTCTTCTTTAGCCTGAAACTACACAAAAGACGGCAGGTTTCCCTCCCAAATCCCCAGATAAACTCTTCAAAACATCCAAAATGCCATTGATATTACTGTAGTAATTTTGTCCTCACAAAAAAATTCAATTTTAATATTCTTCTACTTGGAAGATCAAATCTGACCAGTGAGGTCTTGAACAAGGCTGCACTTGCATTCAGGTGCGACTCATTCCTATTTAAAAGCTGAAACACAAAGAGAAGAGTTTAGAGCCCCCCCCCCCCCCCCCCCCCCCCCCCACCCCACCCCACCCAGTATCATAACCAATGTAATACAAGTGTCATTTACCACCAAACAATGGTCCAGGTCAGGAAATCCCACCAAAACGGCCAGAACAAATCGGTGCCTTTGTAAATCACCATTCCTGTAACTAGACAAGATTCTGGGTTTCCACCCCACCCCCCCAAACTATTTTTTATAATCTTTAAAGGCAAAAGTATACGCTTAAACTTATCTCCAGCCAGTGGCGCTTTACACCCAATTCTTCAGAGTAAAGAATTAGCAAGTCTACAGCTGCAATGAAAAAGAGCAAAAAGTTTACAATCCCTCACCCCCCTCCCCCCTTACCAAAAGCAATTTAAATCAATTTATAAACCAATGTAAAAACTGGTTACTCAATTGACGCAAGCACATCCATCCACTCCCATGTTACGGCTCAGTCTCAATTTTAGAAGTCACAACAGCATACCTGAAAAGAGAGAAAGTGTTGCCCCACCCCTCCCCAAAGCTACCAAACTCCAAACACTGACATTGGATTTGATTGAAATTGTAGTGCAAGTGTTAAGTGCATGCATATTTTAAGATGAGTGCGTGTTCTGCCCATACACAGGATTAAGACCAACTATGTGTACTTAACTCAGCAGATAGCAGCAGAGGGATGCGCGATTAGCAGCATAACAATGACGAATATGAGGTTGATCAGAGCGACTGGATGTCCCAGCGTTACATCAGGCAGTTAGGGCTCTCCCAGATGACAAGACAATTTTGCATCCTAAGTGAAATTGACCTAAGAAAATGAAGAATTGGAGGGGGGAAAAAAACAGGAAAGACGCGCAGACACACAGAAGGACTTCGACGAAGGGCTTCCGAGGTTTGGACAAAGCTCTCAAGCGCACAGAAGGGGGATTCGGATCGCCATTCACTCAAGTGAAGACATTCACCGGGGTTACTGCTCTCACAGACAGCCTTGCATTCAGATGCAGTCGAGAAGGCAGGGGGACAAACGGGTAATCTGAAACAAAGAGCTTCTACACACAAACACTACCACCACACCAATTGCAATACTAACTGTATGATTCAACTAAGGAGTTAAGAGATGTAAAAGAAACTTAAAGTGCATGAAGCATAAAAAAATAAGTATAGCTTCTGAAGCGTTGATGATTTAAGTTACTGAAGTTTACAAAAAGTTGTTGCATAAGGTTTCTAATCAAGTTTAATGATTCAGACACCTGGTAACTAGATTCCACAGGGCGACATCATGTAACATTCACCACAGCTGGCTGAAGTAATTTCTGCAGAAGAGAGAATAAAGTGCATAGTCCCCCCCCACCCCAAACACATCTTTTCCAGGTAATTTACGTCTGTACAGGAAGTGCCAAATAAAGCTGCACAGTTGCGCAGCTATTCCCAGCCACTCTAAATTTGGAGATTGGAGCACAGTTGTGCAACAGTTGGAAGGAATATTGCTATACATTTGTAAAGCAACTCTGTCACTCTGCACAGTTGCACAGAGTAGTGGCTAGGTACTTATTAAACATTTTAAAAAGAGTTTCAAATCTATTGTAGCACAACGAACTGTCCTGCCTGTCGAAGCGTTCAGTGGAACTGGGCGATTTCGGGTCATAACTTCTTCTGATAGGTGGCATTCTTCATGAGGCTTTGTAAGATTCTGCAAGACCAAAAAATGGCAAAAACAAGACCCCTACGCCCACCCTTCATAAAACAGTCCAATGTCCAAATAAAACCATAAAGTCTGCAAGATTCATTTATCAAAAGTGTAGGCTTACAGCCAAAGAGACTACAACGTAATGCATAATGCATCTCTTCAAGTTAAATTAGTAAAATTTGCCTTTCCTCCTTGGGCCTGATCAAGCTGTAGGACTGGACTGATCTGCCTCTCCACCTTGAACAGAGTTGACTTCAAGCCCTGGCATCCAAGCTCTACAAAAAGCACCAAGCTTTACACTCATACCTGGAAAAGCATAAAGAAATACCCAAGAAAGCCCCACACATACCCCAAGAAACAAAATGCATACCAAAATTTCAATCACAACAGGCTATGGATTTATTAACTGAAAATGGAAACAGTACAGAATGTACACTTACATAGAAATTACAAAGCTAATTTGTAAAATGTGCTCGACGACAGATCTTACAATTGTAACGCTATTAATGGAAAAAGGTTAGGAACAAATGGGCTTGCTTAGTGACCTTACGTGACCAAAAGAGGCTGAGGTTGATTGATGCGAAAGAAAATCTTTACATACAATGTTAGGATGACATCTTCAGTGGAAAGCATTCAGGGACACAGCACACTGAAAAATGCAAAAGGGGGAGGAAAAGAAAGCCTACACACATCCCCACTCTTCAAAATACAAAAATTAACCAAACAATAAGCAATACAACTACTGCTTAGACACTAAGCCATCAAATTGTATTCAAGTACAATACAATGAAAGACAAAAGCAAATGAATGCCATTTACATGAATATCCAATTACTTGCCATTAGAAAACGTTAAAAGCGCCTTGGCCTCTATTGAAGTAGCTTTGCTCCTTAAGTGGGGAGAGGGGAGCAGATATTGGTTGGACCACCAGCTTTGTTCTTTGAGGGTTTGTTTCAATCTGTAAGAGTCAAAATTAAGCAATCCCCCCCAGATCCAAACCCCATAGACAATATTCATACATACAACCAATATCCATATACCATTCAATAAAGAGACAAGAGTGCCATGATGTGTTAAACAAAATGAAAGCGTTTGATCCCATGCCGCGTTACCCAAGATGTAAACGTTGGTATAGCTGCCATGGAAGGCTTGTAACTGGGCCAACTCATCCCCTGGCAGACACACTGGTGGTTCCTTCCCCCATACAGCGCTATTTCAAGCCACCCTTAATAAAGCTGCTTTCACAAGCTGCAAAGTCTAGGAAAAGATTTGGGTTAACTGCCCACACCCCTCCCGCCCCGTGACAAACCCCCGACATTCAAAA